AACTCACTAAGCTCCGTGCTTACGGTTTTTAGTTTTGGTTTCAGGTACTTCTGGTAGCAAAGCGAAGAGCTCGGGATGACTGCATTGCACACACCATGATGTTTAGCCTGGGATGTTTACTCTGATATTTTTATATGATACTCTGATTTGGTTTTTGGATACTAAGACTTATGTTTTTGATAGAATGATTTTAATAACAATGTTTTTTTAATGGTTTAAAACGAAATTTTTGGTCATGAATTTTTAGGATGTTACAAGTTGGTATCAGAACCTTGGTTTGAGGGATTCAGACACACTCTCGGGTGTGTCTGAACTCAAACTGAGCACTTTTTATGAAAATTTTCAAAAGGAAATCATTTTTATAAAAGGATTTGTAAAAGAGAAAAAGGGTGTGGTGCATGCAATCAGTCGAGCTCAAGTAAGCTCTCCCAAATTACCCGTAAATGTTTGTTATGATATGATATGATTATGAGAACTGCATGCTAGATTAAGGCTAAGGATCTAGGAAGGATGCCTTGTATGCCTGTTTTATGTGTATGAGAACGACATGCTATATTAGGTCTAAGGATCTAGGAATGATGCCTTGTATGCCTATTGTATGCTCTTATTGAACTGCATGCTAGTACTGATTAGTTAGTGATATGATGGCCTGAATAGGAGATGCTTGGTTTGGGTTACTCAATGCTCGAATGTTGCTTGCTTTGTGCTTTTAGGAGTTCTGGTTATCTTTAACTAACTAGTAAACGAATACGTTAAGTTACATATTACGAGGACTAAATAATTTTAGAAGGTTAGGTTTAGCCCTATTTTGCAACTCTTGTTTGAGTCCAACCGTTATAGGGAGAGACCTCTCATTCGAAGATTTATCTGGTCTTAGTAATATGTAATGGTATTCACGAGCTAGTTAGCGGGAGATAGTAAAGACTTCTTATGCAACAGATGACGGAGAGTGGTTCAGGGATTACCCTACGGAAAGCCTAGGATGATATTAGTGCTGGGAGCGGTATTAGTGAAAGGGACTTGGTGGATTCAAGGCAATTCTTGAGGAAAGTACGGATAGATGTGGAAGGTAGTATGGGCCCGTACTACTGAAAGCAGAGGATCCATACTCGAGTCAAGGAGGGCTGAGATAAAACCAAGAAACTTGTAGTGTGTGTGATCCCTCGATAGTGATGAGTATTCTGATGGTTGTTATGATATGTTGCAGCATGGTGGCACTACGTACTTGACCAGTTAGCAGTTGGGGTGTCGGGCGAGGGATCAGGCTCGGGCTCTGGAGCCGGGCTGCTTGATGATCAGATGAGAGAGTTTATTTCAGCTGACATTACGTGCAATATCATTGACCAGACTCATGTGATCTTCGGTACAGTCATGGAGGGTATCTTGGAGATTCTTGATGAGAGGCTGGAAATTCCAAACTATCATGGGGCTAAGGACCCCATTTCTAGCACTTGGTGGTTGATAGATGTCGCCAATGCTTTTCGTACCATACGTTTTCCCGAGGGGGACAAGGTCCGAATTGCTTCTTTCCTACTGAAGGACAGACCACGTGATTGGTGGGAGGATATTGGGCATGCTATTGGAGATGATGCCGCTATTGGTGCGATGACGTGGAGTGACTTCTCGGCCAGGTTCAGGGCCGAGTTTGCACCAGTGATTGAGGTGCAACAGCTAGCACGTGAGTTCCAGGACCTCCAGTAGACGACTGAGACAGTGACTGAGATCACCACCAAGTTCAGGGAGAGGGCCCTTCTTGTTCCGCAGTATGTGGCAGACGAGGAGATGAAAAAGGCCCCATACCACGAGATGCTGAGGAGCAACATCAGGAAGTTTGTGAGCAGGTCCAACTGTAAGACGCATGAGGATATGATCACTCAAGCCATGGAGAAGGAGATCGACTTGGAGGCGGAAAGGAAGAGAAACCCAGATGGGGTTCAAACATCCACGGGATCGCGCAAGAGGCCCAAGGTATCAGATTCTTGATTGAGGGGTCATCAAGACCGTAGCCGCTGTGGCAAGTACGACAGGACACACGAGGGTACGTGTAGGAGTGGCAGTGGTGGTGATTCTGGCTGCATCAAGTGCGGCCGGATCGGTCATTATGGCAGGGATTGTACTGCTACCACCACCCAGGGATCAGACCTGATCTGCTTTCATTACAGTCAGCGGGGCCACAAGAAGGCCCAATGTTCGAGTTTGGCTATAGTGGGACAGGTGATGGCACCTTCCCCTGTGACATTGAGGATCACTGACGGCCGTCAGGGCCGGGCAGAGGCACATGCGGAGAGGAGCAGGGCTTTCCAGCTGACTACACAGGAAGCTCGAGCGGCTTCCGATGTTGCTGGTGTGTTTTTATTTATGATTTTATTGCTATTGTCTTGCATCGGTATGAGTAAGTGTATCTTGGAGTTATATTTTCTGCTTATGCTTGGATTATATGCCATCTGCATACGATGAATCTTAGAGTAGTAGTGTGAGGTCGTATCTTTATATAGAGGGTTCCCAGGTTTGCGGTAGTTGTAACAAGTGTGATTGGAACTCGGGAATTGTTCCGTTAGTCTTCAAGAGTTGTATTGCTTTAGTATTGGTTGGTTTTTGAACACTACCAGTGATAAGTGTTGGTTGCCAGCGGATTGATCATTGGATGGTAAGAAGGACTGGGTATCCTTCCAATCTTTTGTGCTGTAAGATTTTAGTTGAATCAAAGTGGGGGAGAATTGTTTATGTATTTGGGATCAGAAGTAGGTGGGGAAACAGGACAAGCTTCGCATTCCCGCTGGAGAGGAAGGCAGCCCCCATAGCTGACTGGATTGATGAGTGTGTGAGTTGGGAGTTTGGGAAACTTTCCAACTTTAGGTTCGCGTCTTCTTGGTGTTTGATGGATGGCATTGGGAAACTAGGTTTGGGAATCACCGTCAGGACGCAAGTTCAGTCGGGATGTTAGGTCGTGTGTGTGTAACGTTGGATATGTCCGGTTTGGTAATCAGTTGTTGAGACAGCATGGAAAGCGTCGTAGGACTGCAGGATAGCCGTAGCATTCACCAACAGCGAGACAGTGTGGGAAAGTGTTGTTAGACTGCGGAATGAGCCATATCATTTACATATTCTTTCATATAGGTTAGGGCTGGGTGGGTCAGTTCGTAGGATCGTGGAAAGGCCACAACAGGATCGGAATCAGGAAAGGATAGCCCAATGGGATTTAAGGTGGAGTTGGACCCGTGCAACCCTAGATAGGTGAGACCTGTGGGCAAGGCCGCTCCGTGATATGGTTTGGGTGAGACTCGTAGGCGAGGCACATGTGCTTATAGCAATGCAGGTGGGACCTGGAAAAGACCGTTGGGTCAAGGTATGGGATCAAGGATCCCATGATTTATAGAGCCAAGAGTGGCAATGTGGATAGGGTAGTTTCGATAGCCGAAGTTTTCTTTGGTAGTCGCGGGAGCGACTAAAAGCGTGTTCATAAGCTCAGCAACCGGGTGGGAATCCGGTATTCCAGATAGTTGACAGATAAGTTGGGACCTGGGAGGTCTCGGTTCATTCAGAAAGTGGATAAGAGGCAGCATGATGTTCGGGCAGAAGTAGTGATGTGAGGATTCTTGTGTGTGGAGTAGCTTGCTGATCGAAGGTGTTAAGTCACTTATAGTTGGGTTAAATAATCTCAGAGTAATTGATTTGACCCTGTTGCACAACTCTTGTCTGAGTCTAACCGTTGGAGGGATGAATCTCCTACTCAAAAGATTATCTGAGCCTTCTATCAAGTATAAGTGTTCTACAATTGATTATGGCCAGTTATTTTTTTTATGATGGTAGCATCGAGATAATCAAGGTTGGAAGTGGGCATTTGGTCGGTCATTCGAGGAGGACTAAGCATGGTAAAGCTTAGCGTGGGTGGTCTGTCAGGAAGTCATACCAATGTGGATTTTCGGTTTTAGAGAGGTAAAAGTGGTTTCTTTCGGAGGTTTAGGATTGGCTTTCTTCGAGATGGAAGTTCGGTTTTGGGGTTTCAGTTATCTTGAAAAGATTTTTTATACGTAGAATCATCGGTTGCGTTCCTCAAATCATTGTTCGGATATGGGTGTTATTAAGGAGAGATTTCGAGGACGAAATCTAACTTAAGTGGGGGAGAGTTGCAACACCTGGTTTTGAAAGTGCTTCGTTGCTAAGGGCTGCGGCCCAATCATCAGTTGTCATTAGGGTTAGTGCCTCGGGAAAGGAAGGATTTGGCCCATTTCGGATGTGGGTGTTAGGGTATAATTGATTCAAGTATTCAATAGTGTCTTCGGAGGCCAAGGCTATAATCTTAATTTTACATCTCGGTCTTCTAGGGATTTTAGGTTCTTGTTCATAAAGTTTTTAGGTAATGATGAGTTGTTAGAAGTGTAGGGCTTCCCGTCACCTTTCCATGGATATAAAGTTCATCGGAAACGGACTTAGAACGAAGAAGTTATAGCCAAACTAAGTTTAGGGTTTAGAGGTTCCATGTGTACAAGGGGCGTATAAGGCTGCATGGTCGTGGGTGGTTTGTGAGTACGTCGGGCATACTAGGAGGTATGCAGGGCGTACTCCCTTCTGACTAAAACCCTAAATTTTAGGGTATAGCCACTACTAGAAAAACAGCCTTTTACGACGCGTAATACGTGTCGTAAAACGCTCAGACGACGCGCAAATGCGTGTCAAGGAAGGCCATATCATAAAGGAAGACGACACACTTTTGCGCGTCGTCTATTTACGACGTGCATTTACGACGCACGCTTACGACACGCAATGCGTGTCAAGGAAGTTCGTGTCATAAAGAACACGACACGCATTTGCGTGTCGTAACCTTACGAATTTTACGACTCGCACTGTGTATCATTAAAGACCGTGTCATAAAGAAAGATGACACACATTTTTGCGTGTCATAATTTTAAAGGTTTTAAAAATATATATATGTTTGATAGATTTACTAAATTTCAAATTAAATAAAACATTTAAAAGTCTCATAACGCAAAATAAAATACTTATACAACAAAACAATCCATTTCATGAAATAATTGTACTAATATTCAAAATAAATCACATTTAATTGTTATTTTATTAACATGAGTCAAAGTAGAAAAACAAATCTTCCTAATCCGAATAACAACAAACATAAAACACAAACTATTTTGGAAATATGGATCTTTGTTACTTGTGTAGAAACAATGTGATCGATTTGTTTCAAGATATGAAACAGTTGCTCTGCACGACTTCTTCCATCTTCTCGCTTCAATTACAGTTGAAGGAGCATATCTTGCAGCATATCCATACATGAGAGCTAATGCAACATGAATGTCATCGGAATCTTTAATCTTAGTTTTATCTGAGAAGAAGGATAGAAATCTGCATTTCAAACAGTCTTTTGTTGTCAAGAAGACTAAACATAAAATAAGCATAAACAATAAATAAAAATTATATAATATAAATATATACCTCTGGAGAACACTTTTTCCAATGTTGTCAAGAATGTCTTTAAGTTTGTCTAACACAGTATCCAAGTGGGATGCTGCAACCTGAAAAGAAATTGACATGGACTTAGTTTACTTCACAGGGGTAATTTGGTAATTCCATACATACCAATCCCATGGCTTTAGCAAAACCAAAGTCGATTTTCAGGAATAGTGATATTTGCTTGTTTATAATCAGGATCAATTCCATTTCCATTTATGTCCAAATGATTTGGTGTGCCATATTTCCAAACAATCACCACCACCCCCGATCCATCATGAAGTTCAAATACAGACTGAATCAAACCCTACAGTAATAATCAAGAAAATTATCCAGATTAATTAATGAATAAAAAAACCCACAATAACATTTCATTTTTTTAATTGATAACAATGTTATACAAATCTTTCCATAGGTCTTTTCACCAACAACAATGGCTCTACAGTTGTCATGTAGTGCAGTAGCAACCTATTCAAACTATCACCAATTAGACCCTTATCACTACTTTAATGAAAAAAAATTGAACACATAATATGGTAATATTAGGGCTCACTATTTCACTTGCACTAGCAGTAGTTTTGTTCACCAAAACCAGCCATAAAAGAACATAAATCAAGAACTAGTTACCCATAGCTCCAAATTTATAAATAATGTAATTAAAGAAGGTAAAACTTACAATGACAGGAGCTGTAATAAGAGGCACTGTTTCAGCTACTATACTTTTTACATTCTGACTTTCCATTCCAGCAGTATATATTACAGTCTCCCTTTCATTTAAAAACAGTTTAGCAATTTCAATCCCCTCCTGAAAGAAATTAGGGGTGTTCACGGTCCGGTTTTTTCCGTTTTTAGGTCAAACCGTAGCCAAACCGTCGGTAACGGTTTTTTGTCAATCGAAAACCAAAGCCGAACCATGAAAAATGAAACCGAACCAAATCGAACCGTAACGGTTTGGTTCCGATTTGGTTTCACGGTTTGGGAACTTGAATATGCGTCGATAAGTAAGCCAAACTCGGACCGACTAAGTGCAACTCAGACAATATCAAAACTCAATGATTTTGTCAAAATCAGGAAAAAAAACGGTTCTGAAAAACCACTATAACCGGATTTTAAAAAGATATTATTTTTACTCTACTTGGTACATCTTTAAAAAATTGGTTGGCTTATTTAAGCAATAAACTTCCTTTTAGTACACAAGAAACCTGTCGAAGGCTACTGTTGATTAAATCCCAAAGATGCCTTCTCTTTATATAGTGGAGGTTATACTATTTGATTCCCTCTTACGACTGACATGAGATGTTAAATGAAAGCCAAAGACGCCTTCTATATATCTCTTTGCATGCAGACACATTCTTAGTTTGTTTTTACATACAAACTAACACACTTCTATGTATATACCATATTTTTAACATTAAAAATAACACAGCGCTTAATTGCTCTTATTCTCAAGTCATGAATCATAAGATATGTGGGTTTTTGAATTTTATTATTTTTATATATAATAAAACTATATACAAAAACATATAAGAAAAATTATATATATATATATATATATATATATATATATATATATATATATATATATATATATATATATATATATATATACGGTGCGGTCAGGTTTTTATACGGTTTAAAACTTTTGAAACCGCAAGCCAAACCGTTCATTACGGTTTCGAAAGTTTGAAACCGCGAGCCAAACCGTAAATAGAAATATAAACCGTGAAACCAAACCGATGTCCGGTTTGACCGGTTTCACGGTTTCAAACCGAACAATGAACACTCCTAAAAGAAATAACAATACAAGCAGATGATTTACAAACAAAAATTCATTAGATTTATGCAAGTTTACCTGCACCAATCCACCAAGATTATCTCTAAGATCACGAAAGAAGAATGAGACACCCATCCCTTGAAGTCTCTTCGTTGCTGTCAATATTTCTCCTTCAAGTTAGTTACTCAACACTAACAAAAAACTGGTAACCTATGTGGTTTATGACTAGTTGATTTTTTTAAAGGAAATCAAAAGTTCTCTGATAATAAATGCAATTAAACTAATTCATAAAGGTTTTTACCCGAGTTAGAACATATAACCACATGTTGAAGTCAAACAACCTACAAAAAAGAAAAAAAAATTGATTAATGTATAGGGACAGGATGGTCTTTTAAACCCTTTTAACATCCTTTAAAAACTTCGACAATTTATGTATATAAAAGTTTTTATTGTAATTAATAACCATCATGGAAATACAGTTCTTAATGGAAAAAAGGAACATCCCCTATACCAACAACAATAATTATAACCAAGAGGAGTGGCAATAATGGAATGTACCTTCAACATGTAATCAGAACATGAAACTTCTACAATATATCTAGTTTGATGCTTTCCGAGAATACTAACCAGCAGAATCAACAAGCATGTCAGTTTCAAAGTCTTTTTCATAGAAATCCATCTGTCCCATTCCGATTTCAACATATATACCAAGGACATTTTTCAATAATGCTCTATCAATCTGCTCTCCTTCACATTCTTGAACAATCTGGATCACAAGCAATGCTAACTTCAACTCTACATCACCAACAAAAATTGGTGCATGAGCATATAAAACAACTTACAAGTGCAAAAACATCATCTTTAGCTTTACCCTTACTAACCGATTCACGAAAACAAGTCAGACCAACTTCATTGAGTGCAGGTAGGTACCTTCGAGTAATGAAATAACGATCAAGATAGTGGAACTCATCGTGTTTCTCTCTAAGGCGATGCACAGGTTGACAAATGAGCTTGTAACCCATCCCAAAATTCAGTTGTTTTACCCCTTCTATTAATCTAAAAACTTCCCCTACAAATAACATGAACGATGTTTATCAACTAAAAACAGATTACAGATGAAGAATAAAAGTACTCAATACAAAAGAAACCATACTGCCAGATGTATCCGTGATCAGGAATAACTGGAACTTTCAAAATTGAAGAATACTTTCACACATGATCATAGCTAGATAGCTCCATTATTGAATGCTTTCCGTCAAAATTCTTTAAATTGTTACCGTTTGACTGTTTAGAATGGTCAACAATGGAACTTCGTGAAAGTTGACCTTGACAATCAGTCAACACCTCTGCAGATGATTCATCAGATAGATTAGAAACTCTACTCTTTCTAACTAATCCGAGCTTCTTAAGCAATGCTGCTTCAATTGCATCCTTTAACTTGTTATCTCTGGTTTTCACCTCTTTTGTATTCCTAACACCCGATGCATTAGAAACTCTATTTTTTCGTTTACTCCATATTTAGCTTTTTTGGCCTCTTTCAGTGCATCCTGTCAATGTACAAGTAAATCAATGGTAAGAAGTAAATATATATTATCAACTGTCTGAAGGCCGGTAACTTCAAGAACATAAGATAAGCGAAAAAATAAATCATTTAAAAGATATAACTACCTCTCTTTGGCTCAATGCAGCTTCCTTCCTAAAAACACATTGAAATTGCATAGATCAGCGTTGTGGAGAAGGCAACAATAAAGAAAATACAATGGCACTAATGCATTTGATAGGATATTATTAACCTGCTTAACAATTTCTCTTCCAAATATATTCCTTCACCTAGAGCAGCCACCTAAATGATACGTTGAAAGATTAAGAATGATGGCAAGTGGCGAGACACAACTACCAAGACCATATTAACTCAAGAAAAAACTAATAGCTAGTGAAGTGAATAAAAGAAGGGGCTCAAATTTAAATAACAAATTGGGATATGAGTGTCATAACTCTTAAGTTCAAAATAGTGAAATGATTAGATTAGAGCATATTTAGTATTTCAGTGGGAATAGAAAGTATGTAACCTTTTAGATCCCAATATATGACAGACACAAAATAAGAAGAATATGGGTGAGCACCTGCTTCTCAAGCTCCTTAACCCTCATCTCTGCATCCTGACAACTTTCTTCAGCAAACCTGAGCTGCACAATATAAATTCAACAATGAAGACCAGATATATATAAACAAAGAATACCATAATTAGAACCCACCTTCTCAAGGTCATTGTCATTATCTTCTTGTAGCATATCAAGATGCATGAAATAGCACAAGTTAACGAATTGTACATCACTTAAGCTAAAACTAAAATTGAAGGGAACAAGAAAAGTACAAATTTCCCAGATGGTGGCAGATGAAACGCTGAGGAGAGAAGGAGGCGATCAAGGAGTCACAGATGAAAACAAGATGAAAGATGGAAACCTAGGAGAAATTGAGAAATTGTTTGATGTTTTGAGAGAGAGAGAGAGAGAGAGGGAGGGAGAGAGAGAGATATAGAGAGAGGGAAATGGAGAAACTGATCTCGAACCAGATGTATGAAAAAAAAACCCTAGAATTGCGATTTTCTTGAAATTTTACCTCGTGTTCAACTTGAGAAGCATCAGAAGGTGAGAAACCCAACTAAGAGCATCGGTTTTCTTGAAATGTTACCTTGTGTTCAACTTGAGAAGCTTTAGAAGGTGAGAAACCCTTTAATGTGTTCAATTTATCATCAGATTCAAGGCTACCAGGCGTTTCTTCCCCTTGTGTCGACTTTCTTCTGCGAGGTTGTCGGCGAGGCGAAGTCAGCCGGACGAGAAGTAACCTAACGTCGTCAGAGGAGACGTTGTCTGCAAGGCGAAGCGAGACTCGACGATCGATTGTAGAGAGTGTAGTGAGTGATTCAGTGAGTGTTTTGATTTTTGTTTGAAAAGCCCTAGGATATTTTAGCAGTACGTACCTCGATCTTTGTAACAAGCGTGTTTCATTAAAATTAAAAGGCGATGGTTATAGAGGACGCACATTTATTATAAAGCGCCCTCCGTGTTTTTATTTTTTTTTCTTTGAGACACCAATTTAAGGGCACACAATAATGCGTGACCTAAATACTTCAATTTTTTGAAGAGATGACACCATTTTAAGGTCACTCTCTTTTGCGTAACATAAATTAATGAGTGTCGTGGTTTGTGTGACAACCCGAAACTTTTTCCGTTTCCATTATACAATTTCCGTTAATAAAATTTGAATTTTATTAATCTTCCGTCGAACCTTTGATTTACAAAATCATCTGGTATTATATAATTAAACTTATATACGCAAGTCGGAACCAAAACCGCGCGAAACTCGAATTATCCTCGAAAAACATCATGTTCACGGTCTGACCAGAGTTCACGGCTATAAACCTATTTACGGCCGTAAACTCGTTTGCGGCCAGCGTCGGGTGGACCCCACCCACCGACCACAAAACCCCAATAAATATGAGACCCCCACCCTCATTTGAACACCTTTGACCGGAAACTCTCTCTTTCTCTCTCTAAAACTCTTGACCGTAAACACCTAGAAGGCCTTCAATCTCCGAGAAAATATCGAGAAACACCGTTTAGAGTTATTTCGAGGCATCTGGAACACATTTCTCTTCGAAATCAGCACCCTTGTTCTTGAGTTTACGGCCCATCTTCAAAGACCGTAAACCCGTTTACGGCCCATCTTCAAAGACCGTAAACCCAGTTCACGGCCGTAAACTCTTCACGGCCGTAAACCACTCTTCACGACCGCAAACTCTTCCTAAGTGGTGAAAGCTCGTTTTCTCGATTCAAGCAGGTTCCGGTAACATTCCTTAACCAAAAGCAAGTGTTTTTCTAACACTTTATCTAACGAAATCGCTAATTTAGATACATATACGTATTTATTGATATTAGGATTCCGTTAAGTGCCACGTACAACAACCCGAGGATCTTCGTTTCCAGTGGACGTTTTCGCACAACCATTTTGAATTCATACCCCTACATTTTCTGTGTTTTAATGTTTTTCAAGGGGGGGGGGGGATACAAGCCAAGCTCAAAGTATTTTATTATGTTTTAAACTTATTAATACAGTCCAACGATTTCCATGTTTAATAACATACTCGGATATTTTATCCCTTTTGTAATAACTTGAGCATAAGGGAAACTGTTATTTTGGAAATCTAACTTCATAGCTTTCAGAAAGGTTTTACAAAGCATTTTCCATAACAACACTAATAAACTATAATGGATATAGTTTGGGATAACCCTCTAGGCAGTTTCTACGAAATCAGATTTCATGGATGAATATATATAAAATATGGCAGATTTAGTTTATGTTATATGTTTTCTCAGAAGTATAAAGTACATTTATTCAAGGATAATTATTGTTTTATACTGTTTCTAGCTTGTAAACAAGATTATACAGAATTGTGAGGCTCTACTTCAATATTGTACCCTTAGGTGTACAGGGATAAATCCTTTTAGTATAACCAGAGTCTCCTGGAGGGAGAGCGTGAGATTTGTGAATAGATCTATTCGGGACTGACAATCCCACACCTGAACTGCTAGCTACAGTTAGGCGGGCACGCCTGGGGTGAACAAATGTCATTTAGCTTAACGCCTGAAGAACGTTATAAAGGTCTCTAGGTCATATCAAGTATGGTTATACGACTCGCAAATAAGTATAAACTAACTTTGGGTCACGAACTCTACTATTCATTAGTTTTATTTTTAGTAATAAAACAACCTTCATATATACACTGATAGTAATCAGGGATTTCTAAACTTACATCTCTACCTCTAGGACGAATAACTTGTTTTTAGGGAAAATATGGGATTTTCCCAGAATAACACTGGCATTTCTAAAACTGATGATTTATGTTCTACTAATAGATACTCTTTCAATACTACTTTTCATAAGAAAATATGGGATTTTCTTGAGGAACACTTTTCAGTAGACAGGTACTTCTTGGATTCAGAGAAGCCGAAGCAATAAGAGTCATGTTCTTTATAATTTACATACTTTTGATGTACCTAACACAAGTTTTCAAAATGATGTAAACAATTTACTTATATATGTATCCACTGTATTGGTTGTGTTGCTATGTTTCCTATTATTGATTGGTTGTGATGCTAAACATGACGTCCTCCACCCCGGAACGATTCCGCCATTCTGGTTTCAGGGTGTGACAGATTGGTATCAGAGCCCTTGTTTATAGCGAACTAAGTATACCGAACTAAGTATATTTTCGAAATATAAAGTATTTTGTAACAAGTATACTAGTATGCATACATAACAGAATCTGTGTCATGAGTAGAATAAAACAAAAAGTATTTTGATGTTGGGACACTGCGGTTAAACCTGGGTGGTTATGTAATCATGTTTAGGGTAAATATAGCCTAATCAACTATATTCAGTGAAGACATGACCAACATGTGCTTGGGAATGACGGTGGTGTTACAACAGGCCTAAAACTTACCTAGAACAAAAACATTCACCATAAAATACTATAGGAGTATTTTGCTAGAGCCAAATTCAGTAAAGAGATTCATTCCTAGTGTTGCTACCTATTTGTTTCTCAGCGATAATTTACTTGCATTAGTAACCTTTCATTGCTTATCGCTTGGTAGAACACTTTATTATCAGGATAAGATATATCTTGTTTCATATATCTCGAGGACTTACCATCCTCTTCTTCCTGGTTGTTTCTAGAACAAGATGCATCCCCGACCAAGACCCATCAGAAGAAACGACGACACTCCACCACCACCACCACCCCCTCAGTTCGACCCCGTCATGTTCCAGGCAGCAGTTACCGCCGCCGTAACCGCAACAATGGCACAAGTGAACTCTGGTGGGGCTGGAGGTGGAACCGACCCCCAACGGCAAGACGGAAGTCAGGGACATCAAAAAGAGTGTTCCTACAAGGACTTTATGACCGCAAAACCCAAGCCCTTCGACGGAAATGGATGTGTTATCGCTCTAACTCGATGGTTCGAGAAGATTGAATCCATCTTAGAAATTTGCGCCTGTTCCGAAGCCAACAAGGTGAAGTTCGCCGCCTACACCTTCACCGACAGAGACTTGACCTGGTGGAATGGTCGAGTCAAAACCCTAACCCTACCAGTGGCTAATGCCATGGGTTGGAAAAGACTGAAGGAACTCATGATTGCGGAATACTGCCCGAGGGGCGAAGTGAAAAAGTTGGAGCACAAACTCTGGAACTTGAAGATGAAGGGTTCCGACATCGCTGCCTACACCGCTAGATTCTGTGATCTGGCTCTCCTCTGTCCGGGAATGGTCACCCTGGAAAGCAAGAAAATCGAGAGGTACATCTGGGGACTGACACAACCAACCAAAGGAAATGTCTTGGTTGCTAGATCGGCCACGTTTGAGAGCGCCAAGGATCTGGCACAGACTCTGATCGATCATGGGATCGATCTGGATGAGGCATCGGTGATCGCCGAGCCACAAAAGGAGAGTGGTGAGAAGAGCAAGAAATTTTGGAACAAACTCAAGGGCCAATCTTCTCAGGAGCCCTCCAAGAAGCAACAAACAGTGGCAGTCCACGCTGCTACTACTTCTACTGCTGCTCCCACTGCTGTTCCAACCACCCAAGCTCCTACCGGTGGTTATTCAGGGAAACTACCTCTGTGCAACAAGTGTACCTTTCATCATCACGGACCTTGCCGTGATTTGAATTGCAACAACTGTGGAAGGAAGGGACACACGACCCGATACTGCAGAGCACCAGCCCAACCAATCAATCCGACTCCTGGAGCGGGTGCCAGCCAAGCCTACTATGGATGTGGAGAAGTTGGGCATTTCAAAAGAAACTGCCCCAAAGCGAGAACGGGCGGCAATACAGGAAGAGTACTGGCGATGGGCCAGGAGGAAGCAGTCGCTGATCCTACCGTTGTTACAGGTACGTTCCTCCTTGACAACTCTTATGCATGCATTCTTTTCGATTCTGGTGCGGAAAGGAGTTTTGTTAGTCATGCATTCAAACATATAATCAAATGTAAATCCCAACCTCTAACCGAAACATTTACCGTCGAGATGGCTAACGGAAAGAAGGAGAGCACTAACGATATATTCTTAGGCTGTACTCTTACCCTAGACGGTCATTCCTTTCCCATCGACCTTATGCCTGTATCCATTAAGAGTTTCGATGTCATTATCGGCATGGATTTGTTAAGCCCCAATCGTGATGATATCCTTTGCTACGAGAAGGCTATCCGTCTCAATCTTCCCTCTGGAAAAGCCCTCACTATTTTCG